AATCCCGGTGAGTGGTCGTCTGTGGCTCTCTGCGGCGCAGCACAGTAGGTGCTTTTGTGCATGTCCTGGCTGATGACCCATTGTTATTTGTGTTGGTTACCTTTTTATGTCGCCGTGTCGAGGAAGCCTAAGAACGAGTTGGCGCTGTTTTCACGCGATGCGTCTTGTAATTGATCACCCTTCACCGCGATTAGTTGGCAGACATTTATACAGCTTCACTCTCCGACGCGCTCATTTGAGATGCATGCGTGAGTCTGAGCTGAACTCCCCGCGAAATTAGGTACCCTAAAACCTGAGACGTGAGTTGGCATGCTCAGCATAAAAAGTCGAAATTACATAGATCCGTTATGGCTCATATTAATGCCTATCGCCATTCTAATAACGATTGCTCTAATGAAACGTATGCCATTTTCATGTCAACGTCAGAATGCTGGGAAGTCGCCAATGCTGTGGCAGGTTTGACATGTAAGTGGCACATCAATTTGGGCGTGAAAATTGATCAGAGAATATCAATACTCCCGGCGGTTTGGGCTACTTGTAGAACACTGGCAATCAGAGGGGAGTCCTGACTTTCTTAGTCCATGGTTTCTCTCTACGCCCCGAGTTAAAGCATTTTTCTTTCTGTATTAGGCTCTTTGTGTATAACGAAATCCATTTCAGAGCCGGGAGAATGGCAGGAATTAGGGGTGACATTGGTCTGGGCGGGCACCCTGGTGACTCGTCAGTCGTCGGTGCTGAGCCCGTCACGAGGACAGGCCACCCAGCCCCCTGACAGTCGCCGCACTCGGCTACGGGCCTGCTCCCAGGTGAGGTATGTACCCGCATTGGGAAGCTGCCCGTCCAGCCTGCAGAACATCAAACATGGGGCTGAGGCGTAGAAGAGAAGGATTTGACTATCATGATGATGAGAACGACGGAACGGTGAGTTTTAGCACTACGCCCAAGGAGCTGCATGGATAGAAAATAACATTTAACACGCGCAGTGGAAGGGGGGGGGGCGGATTTCGCCCACCCCTCCTGTTTTTCGCCAATAACTCGCGCCGCAAATATAATATTAATGTGAAATTCGGGCTACCTGCCCAGAATTGAATTGCGGATCTTCTCGTGCAAGAAATAAGAAAATCGGTTCGCAACTTTTCTAGTAATAGCGGTGTAAAGTCAAACATCCTGCCGCCGCGGCGGCGCGGCGGCGCGGCGGCCGGCGCTAGCCGTTACGCGCCGCCTGAATTGTAGACTGTGCCGGGGCGGGACGGTTCCGTCTTTACATCGCGCTCCTTACCGCTGATTATATTCGATTCGCATCAAAATTGGTGAGAAGACTAAGAAATGTACAGGCAATCTTATGGTCAAAGAATTTTGAAAATCGGCCGGTAAAAACTTGAGTTATGAGTGTGTGAACACAAAATTGTGATTGCCGCTTTTCCCGCGTCCGCCGATCCCGCTTCAGCCGGCGACATCTTACCCTTAGCAGGCTTCTAACTGCCATATTTATTGTGTGATTAACTAGAAATTCACCCTACATACTCACAAATGTATGTTCTTTCGAATAGTGAAAGAAAAAAGAAAATCGGCCGGTAACTTTTTGAGTTATCGGCGTGTAAACGCAAAAAAGTCGCTCATATGGCAGATTTGACCACATTTGACCTCATTTGACCTTGAAGATATTGACCTAGGGTCATAAAATTCACACACAACAGAGTTCCCCAGGGCCCCCACCTACCCTCCAAATTTCGTCTTCCTAGCTCCACTGGGAGCTGAGATCTTAGGGGGGGGGCGCCATCCGCCCCCCCCCCTTCCACTGGGCGTAGTACTCGCAACCCTTCCACTGCGCGTGTTAATTATTTGCCTTGTTTGCTCCATTTCGGCCCCAGTGATGCGCCAGTGCGCCAGTGATTTGATATTAATTATAGCATAGTAGCAGTGGATGGCGGATGCTGGATTGCGCCATTGAGTGTAAGATGACGGAAGAAAACGGGAGTAAATACCTGCTATTTCTGGCTTTTAGTTTCGTGTTGCCATTTGCCAATGCTCCTCAGCAATCATTATAGGCGACTGTGTCAGTTAATTTCACGGTACGTGCCAGTTTCCACGGGGGCTCCCGTGAAAATATTTTCGTGAACCTGAAAGCATAATGCGAATGATTCGTGAAACAAAGACACGGCCACCAGCGAATAATAAACTTGTGATATTCAGCGAGCAATCCATCTACTTACACTTAACAGCCCCGTTCATAGATGGCGCTGGCAGTCTGCGCCTGAAACTTATGCTGTACCGCATTGCTGCAACAGCTTCAAGAGCCACGTTTGCGGGGAATTATTGCCTAGAGACAGACTAGTTAGTAGAAACAAAATAAATGAAATACGAAGCACGCCTAAGTGCCCGTTCCGTTGCTTATACATAGTTGTTGAGCGGCAGAGGCCCGACGCGGTGGTGACAGCCCGATTCTGAGTCGCTCAGGTGCTCGATATTATACCTACTAAAGTAAAAAATGTCGAGAATGGGCTGCGGTTGGTGGAGGCAGACACACAGCACCCAGATGAAGTCAGTGATCGGACGATGTCTAGCAGGGGCTATATGTGTATTGGACACGTTTAGCTGTAATTTAAATTAGGAATGTCCGATATCAGGACATTCCTATTCCGATATCAGTAATGCCCCGATCGGACGGCAAAAATGAAAAACTGCCTGGCGCGGGATCCGGCATCGGCAATCCGTCATTTCAAAACCTTTGCACTTCTATGCAAAACTTCTTTGCACTTAAAAAAAATATGTGAAATTGATTGACACGTTGGTACAAATAACTGATTTATTATGTTTTGTAACCTCCTCATCATTCACTCGTCTATATCTTAAATATTATATTTTTCTGTATATTTTTTGTGGTTTTCACACAAGTACGCTCTACTTGATAATAGTTACGTTTTGAATGGACGGACCGTCGGATTCACGAAACCAGCCAGAAATAAGCAGAGCGTGTTACGCAGGACAATTGACTCCACTGACCGATCAGCAGGACCATGAGAAAATGTAATAGTTTAGCTTGTTTATAAATGAATAAACATTATTATAAACAAAGTAAGCTAAATTAATCGGATGATTGCCTGCCTGGTGAATATTTCTCTATTCATGAATTAGGTATTCTAACTCTAAATGTAGCTGGGCTGATGTTTTTCAACTTAATACGCACTTTGACATAAAAACATCACACAGCGAATTTAAAACTGATGAACGAAGCGGAACACTATACCTATAGTTCGTTTTTTTTCAAAAGGACGCTGGCTCAAAGTTCAATAGCGAAGCTCTCACGTGAGTTTTGGCAGCTTCAGTGTCTGGCCAAGAATTTCTTACCGAAAAAATAATCGATTTCAAATTGTGCACGGTAAGTAGCTGGAAACTGTTTCTTAAAAATGAACATACTATGATGACGTCACTGGTGGCAGCAGGCACCCAAATGTCCGTGCAATGGGACAAGTGTCAACGAATTTGGGTGAAACTTAGTTTTTCACTGTTGCCGAGCTTATAATCGAGTAAGCGGTTTCATCCATGATAGTTATACGTTACATTGCAATACGTGTTCGACAGCATGACGTCACCGTTGTTCTCATATCTGGTTCCAAAACGCACATATGGAAATTATCGGGAAGAAATCACATGTTAAAATTAGTCGACGTTCGATTTTCTCAGGTTCAGTTTTTGCTCGTTTTGCTCGCTAAAACACGTGCTTGTTCGAAATACATACTTGGAGCCAGCGTCCTTTTGAAAAAAAAACGAACTATAGGTAGTTTACTAGGGTTACCCGCGTGCTCCGCAACGCGAAGAAGGGTTGTTTTTGACCCATGGGTATTGGGTTGGTCTGTGTCGATTTGGTTGGTATCCATTATGTTCGATTGCTTTTTGACGGCCAAGCATTTTGTAATGAAGCAAAAAAGATCCATCGCATCGAGGTGCCCGTGTCGGATTATCATGCGTTCTTCTAAAGAATGATTCGAAAACTGTCGTGAAGTCTTTTGAGGGCAATCGATGAATTTCGCTAAAAAATGACAATGTAATGGTTTGGAACATTTATATTTTTAAGAATACTGTTGCTCATTATGCAAAAATTAAGAGTGAATATTGGACAGAATTGAATGCTCTATCCAATGGTACCATATTCAATTGCCAAAGGTATCAGGTTATGCAGCAAACCCCGTGTGATTAATAAAGTGGCACAAAATTGACAAACACCATTTTCTCCTGTGATTTGCACCACCTTGATTTGGATCAATCAGCTTTTCACAATTTTTATATGAGAGGCGGTACCTTTCTCTTGCAAATAGGCGTTGATTCAACTCGCTCCAATTAACGGTGACCTAAAAATAAAATTAATTCCAAAATCCCTCAAAAACCGCAATTTTTCAAATAAAGTGCCCTCTCCGGTGCACGTGGCGCGTGCTATCCTCTGCATTGCACACCATTCAATAGCCCGTTCAATTCTGTACACGATGCTGTTTTCCCCGTGCCGGTCGGGCCCCTGGTCACCAAGATATTGCACGGGAACTGGACCCGTGTCGGCCAAAATTAGCCGTTTTCGCCCGATTTCGCACGCCGATTTATACATGTAAAGTCTATGACGCGAATTTGCACTTTTTGAGCACGCGCCACGCGCTCACTACCAATCCGATCGAGCTTAGACCCCTCAAAGGCACGTCGCGCATCCTTGATCTATAAGTTGTGCAAATTTCACCGGGCTAGGTGCAACGGTCTGGCCTGTAGTCCACGCAAAGCACCACCAAGTCGGGACCTCGGTAACGGACAGACGCACCCACCACAAATAGTAATATAGATATCTTCATGACTTACATTAGAGTTAATGGCTATATATTGTAACAGGATATCGCTCGGTTATCGGTAAGCGGCCTCAAAAGATCTCGCATGAAAAATGACCCACTGATAGCGCCGGCACATATCGGGACGTATCATGTTCTATTCACGGTCGTCCCGCTCATCGCGCAGCTGCGGTAGTGGTCTCAGCCCTCGACACGGGCCTTTCAATGAGCTATGACGAGGCCTCTTATCATAAAACGATGACTTCAATGAAGTACCACGCGCTATCAAATGTCTACATGATCTGTTTTCTGCAATATCAACACTATATATTTTTTTTTTAGTCGGCATGCGGATTGGTCTTTACGACTTTATAAACAAGTTGTTATGTTATGCTAGCTGACATATGTAGCTATACATCATTATTCATTATTATTAGTTCCTCTAAAATGCCGGCTTAACAGCGTAACAAACTTGTAATACACATGCTTTGATGCCTACTCTAGCATACAATACTGGATTTATAAATCACATCGATTCACTCACGCGCGCTATCAACAATCACCCCACGATTCCTTCTCAGAACACCCGCTCCCGACGACTGGTCCGTTTCTCTGGCGCCCCGGTCTCACTGTCTCCTGCTGGCCGTGTGGCGGGCCCGGTACTTGGCGTACACCACGTCGGCTATCTCGAACACGGTGAGGATGGAGGCCGAGCACGTCCAGCCCAGCGAGCCGCCGATGTCGCAGATCATCTTCCAGGTGCTGTAGCTGAACTCCTCGGCGCGCCGCTCGAAGAACAGGTGGTTGTAGAAGACTCGGGTGCGTGCCGTCGGCCGTTCGTAACGGATCTTGTCCACGATGTGGTCGTAGTGCACGTAGTCACAGGACGCCAGGCAGCGGCAGCGCGCCCCGCTCCAGCGGCGCAGCAGTCGCTCCCGCTCGGCCACGGCGCGCCGGTACGTCTCAGGCGTGCTGCACGGCCGGCCGGCGCTCATGAAGGGCAGCGCGCAGCCGGCGCGGCGCAGCAGCACGCGCGAGAAGCAGTCGGCCTCGCAGCGGCTGAGTGCGTACTGGGCGCTGCGGCGGCAGGGCCGGCGCGGCCGCGGGATGCTGCGCACCTCCTCCAGCAGCACCTCAGCGTCCGTGGCCTGGCCGGGCGTGGCCAGCAAGCCGCCAACGTGCACGGCCAGGCGCGGGTCGTCGCGCGGCTCGTGCAGCAGCAGTTGGAAGCCCGGAGTGCCAAACACCTGCCTGCGAATGACAAGTAAAATGAGCTACAGGCATTTCGTTTAAACAAAATCATAGCACTGTGGCGAAATACCCACCAACATGCCTTTTTTAAGCGCACACATTAACAAGTGAAATCTCAAAATGTTTAAATACATTTGGAATGCAGTTACACGGTGCAATTTTGGCAAGTGAGAACTAATAGAATTGCACACTGTATCCACTTCTTGACTCGTAATGCTGTCCTGTCCTCGCGTTTGTCTTACACAATCAACAATCATGCGCTGTTCAGTTTGGGTAGGACTGTCCCGGAATACGCAGCTGCATTGCGGCACAGCATACCATTCCAGTAGTCAGTGTCCGAGAGGATACCGCATTGCTCAGGGAAGTTGATGCATGATGAACGAAGTTTCGAGCTAACATAAGGCTCGAGACCAGTGCATTGCTAAGCATGCATTGGAATTTTGCGTGGTTGTCACTCGCCAGTCTGCACTCTACACCAACAGATGATTCCGATGTAACTACTGCGGCGTGCGGCACACTCACCGCTCCGGCGGCTCTGTGTCGATGAGCTGCATGTAGAGGTGGTTGTAGGCGCCCGTCTGCTTCATGCTGTTGTTGTTGTGGTAGGTCCAGCAGACGCCGTCCACGGTCACCACCTCCCGCCAGCGGCCCACCTCGAAGCACTGCACGCCGCGGCCGAAGAAGCACTCGGGGAGGCCGTGCGGCGACTGGTCGCGCGCCAGCAGCGGCCGCAGCCGGTGTCGCACCAGCCGCCACACGTCGGCCGCCGTCCGGTTCCGGTGGCCCACCAGCGCGGCCATCATCAGGTGGCCGTGCTCGGGTGTCGGCCGGCGCCGGCTGTACCCAGCCAGGCGGTGGTCGGCGTATGTGGCGCCCGTCTCACGCAGCATCTGGCCAAAGTGGAGCTCCACTGCGGTCAGGTTGAAAGCGTTCCGGTTGCAGAGGGTCAGGTCAGGGAAGTAGAGGGTGCGGTTGACCAGGAGTTTGACGTTCATCTGGATGGGGTTGGCGAACAGGTAGCCGAGCCTCTCGTGGACCGAGTAGACGAGCGCCGCCACGGAGAGTGCCAGCAGCAGCAGCCAGACCAGCCGGCGGCCGGCGCGAGCCTGCGGGTCCAGGATGATGCCCAGCGCCGGCAGCCGCACCTCCTCCCAGCCCTCGTCGTCAGCGGACTCGGCGGCGGCGTCAGCGGCCTCCCCGTCCGGCCTGTCGTGGCCGTCGCGGTCGTCGCGGCCGCTCTCGGTAGTGTGACCGGCCGGCGTGCCGAACGTCGAGCGAACGCTGGGGAACCGCTCCGGCCGGCCGGCACCCTCCTCAAACTCCCGAGAGCGTATCGAGGACATGGTGCGCCTGCCAACGGAAAGGGTTGTGAAGTCGGTTACCAAAATCCATAGTTGATCTCAGTTATTTGAGTGTGGTCATTTATATTGTCACGATTATATGGAACTAATAGCACATAGCCCAAAGTGGTGAACCCCGGGCTTAGCACCAACCACATATGGGTTATTGGTGAAAGGCTGAGACACTCAAACCAATAAACATTACATTAGATTTGATGTCTGGCTATCCGATCGTTGATACCGCAGCAAGCGATTATCTTTACTGCCGTCATACCTACAATTTTTGGCAACGATAAACGTAATTTTGATCCTTAACCCGCGCCCGGCTGGGGGTCCTGGATTTCCACGCCCTGCTGGGGGGGGGGGGGGGGGTGTTTGAACACCCCCCTTGTAACTCGGCTCCTGGGCCACGTAGCGATACGCGGAAGGCGGCGTTCGAAAGAGCGTCAAAAATAATGACGAAATCACTTCGGTCAATTTTTTGGTCAGGTCAAAGGTCAGGTCACCAGAGGTCATTGAAGGCAAAATTTCGCCGATTTCCAGGTCGAATGTCGAAAATTTCCAAGAAGCCAACGCATAACTCGGGAACCAATAGAGCTACAGCGCCGCGGAAAAGCGCATTCGATAGCCCTATTAACGCCCTTTCTGAGTAATTCTCTCAGATTTGACCTAACGTCAACGGTTTTGCCTGCAGGGGGCAAAAACTGCAAAAATAGCCGATTTTTTCGAAAACAGTTTTTCTGCAATAACTTTTGACCCAAGCCTTGTACGAGCTTACTTTTACCGGCATCGTGTTCCTCTCGTCAAGACGCATCGAATGCACTATAACTTGACCTTGAAAGGTCAACTTGAAAATTTGACCTCAGGTCAAGGTCATGACCTGACCGGAAAGGGTCATGTTGCATATCAGTCGATCCGTATCGTCGAGCTGAACACACCTAAGGCGTTTTCATCGCTCTAGCATGCCTCTATCAAAAGTTATTTGCGAAAAACTGTTAGATACCATTCGTGACCTAAGATGACCTCAGGGCATAAACAAGGGTCACGGACACCATTTTCATGTTCAGTGTGTCTAAACCACTTGTACCTAATTCGGTGTTTGGGAGTGTTTATAATGTCTTGCATCCAAAAGAGGCGCATTTCAATTTTCTCCCATTGACTTATAATGGCGAGGTCGCAAAATTGACCTGACCTTAGGTCATCGATATCAAAATTCTGAGATATACATTTTGTACATGCTATTGCCCTTAGCAATCGCTGAAAGTTTCAAAGCGATCAGTCACTCGGTGTAGCTATGACAGACATTGAAACTTTTTATGAGGTGAGGTCACTTCAAGTGACCTGGTGACCTGACCTTGAATGACCTTGGTCTGAAATTTTTACAACATGTGTAGAATTGATGTATGATAAGGTGTACCAAAAACGGCGGCGCTCCGCGCCGCCGTTTTTGAGATATTCGCGAAAAAACGGAAGGGGGGGGTGTTCAAACACCCCCCCCCCCCCAGCAGGGCGCGGGTTAAATGTGTCGTGCGCTTGGCATCTCGCAAATTTATCGTTAAGTCCATTTTCGTTGATCTATCACAATAGTCATTAAAAAAAATGCGGGCGATTAAACACATTTTGCCGATTTTCATGCAAAAGTTAAAGTAACGATACAGTGCTGATTACGTGCCGGTGGCAGACTGCGTCCCAATACCTTTGTTCCGCCGGTCTATTACTAGCAGCGCAAACTCCGCCCCCAACGAGCAGCCTCTTACACAGAACACACGCGATCCCTGTGTACCTACACGTCCTACAGCCAAATATAACACTCAATGAATCTTTCACAGCGTGAACAAACTTTTCACACCGCCACTGACCTTTCTGCTTCGGTACTGACCTTTCCCTGGGCGGAGGATTCCTGCAGCGCTGTCCCCTGTCCTGTCCTCCGTGGCCGTTGTGGCCTGTTGCTGCCGCCGACGAGGGCAGCTGGCGCGGCCCGGCGGACGGCAGCGGTGGCCCGGGCGGTGTTAGGGGGAGGGGTGCGGAGTGACGGTCATGCGCAGAGGGGTCGCATGGTGCGCTGTATCGATACTCCAACTGGGCCGGGCCACGCCCACGGCGTCTTCGCTCCGGAGGGACGGGCCAGAGACGGGAGAAGGGGCAGGGACGGCGTCACAGGGGGTCAGGGGCAGGAGGGGATGAACGGAATGCTCTCTGGCTGTGCAGAAAGAAGCCTTCTGGGCAGATATGTAGAAATGACTTCGGAATGGGGAATCAAGCCAAAGGGGGCCTTCTCATGGTGCCGCTGTCAAGATAAAACTTACTGGCTTTGGGCCATATTGTTGGAAAAGGGCCCAATTTAGCAAAAAGGGTGAAACAAAATCATTTATTTTTGTTTCTTGGGTGATTGTGGCCCTGTCCTATCTTCTCAGGCTGTAGAAAGGGCCCGGGCCAAAGAGGGCCCATGCCACGTAATAGGGCATAGTATTGACGATATTTCAGAAAGTTTGGGCCCCCATCTTGTTTGGGCCCTTTTTCTGAAAACCTGCCCCCGCAAAGCGAAATCCGTAGCGCCGTCCCTGAGAAGGGGCATGTTCAAGAGGTTGCGTTTGGTTTTGTCAGTGGGGATCACTGGAAGTGAACTGTAACGCAGTATAATAAGCGTGATTAGTGTTTAATAAAAAAGAAACGACGGGAGCAGGTGTGCGTCTAAATTCGCATAAGTAAACAAGTTATCCGAGCATTTATGTTCATGCCCTCGCCCCGACTGCGTCATTTTGCTTTCCCTGACGTGACGGCTGTTTGTTTCTGTCCACTTGCCCACTTGTTTTTTTTTTCTGTGACACCACCTGAAGTTCTAAGCTAATAAGGCATCGTCGTAAAATTTTTAGTGGAATGTCATTGATTCATATAGACTTACACATATATACGTCACGCTGAAAAATGACTGACAGCAGAGTTGATCGCCATTGGCGTTATGTGTAGTTAGGTAGGGTAACTGCGGGCTAATGTACCTCGGTACATACAGCCTATCTTATAACGGCGCTAGAACTCGGCGGTACAGCCTATCTTACGGCGCTAGTGGTGCACGGCGGTGCAGTCTACCTTACGGCGCTGGTAAGCAAAAAAAAAAAACAACAAACAATTAGTGCCGGTACAGCCTACCTTACGTTGCTCATGTACTGCAGCACAGCCTACATTACGCCGCTAGTGCATAGCGGTACAGCCTTGGTACAGCCTACCTTACGGCGCTAACGCACGGCAGTAGTCTACCTTGCGACTTGCGTCGCTGATGAATATGCATGGCGGTACAGCCTACCTTACCGCGGTGATGTACTGCGGTACAGCCTGCCTTACGGCGGTAGTGTACTGCGGTACAGTGTACCTTACGACGCTGATGGACGTGTGCGGCGGTGCAGTCTACCTTACGGCGCTGGTGTTTTGCGGTACAGCCTACTTTACGGCGCTGGTGTGCGGCGGTGCAGCCTAACTTGCAGCGCTGATGGATGTATGCACACTTATGTACCACGACACAAAACATGTCTGTTGCTAACAGTAGCCGGTAAGCCTTAAGTATTTTGCCATTTTGTTTGACGGTGATTTGCTGTAGTTTTCGATGTTTAATTTCGTTTATTGACGGCACGCTGTGGCACACCGACCACCGTTAGCAGTATTAGTCGCCATGACGTCAGCTGAGATCAGCTCGCCAGGGGGTCATATTTCGATCATGTCGGGATGTACGCCTGTTGTCGATCCATTAGCAGCCGACGGTTGCTAGCTGGTGTCGTATAATTTATCTCGTTCTACTGCGCCGAGAGGAAGTCATTTCATATGCAGAATTGATAATTCTGATAAGAGTGCTGGAAGCCGATGCTTCCCTAAACCTTCATGTATTGGAACAGCTATCGGTGAATGGTTTTTCTGCTGTTTTCTTATAGTTAGTCACGGTACGTTGCCAATGCTGGGCTACGGGATAACTGGGGCATTCCACGTCAAATCGAACAAAAATCGGCTGTTTTGCACCTTACCATCAGCGATTTCATTATAAATTTGTGAGCGAGTTCCTGTGTGGCCCCGGACATTACATTGATGTTTTTTGCACATTCTGACCACAGGTCTTCTAAATATAGGGCATCAAATTTTTACAAAATGTTGCATCTTTATATTTTTGAACGACCATAACTTTGGTTGTACTTGTTTGATTTGAATGAAATAAACCTTACTGTTAAGGTTATTTCTTAAGCATTTGTTTAGAATTGCACCTATTTAAATATATGACCTTGAAATTTGCTTAACTCTGTTCTTAAGCACAAATATTGAAATAGCAAAAAACACGTCACCTTCGATTTGGCTCATTTTCATATATTTTGTTGCTTCCATATTCTCAACAACCTGTGAAAAAATTAGAGTGGGCCATTCATAAGTTTTGAAGAAAATTGCACATATGCAAACGTATGTTAGCACGCGCAGTGGAGGGGGAAGAGCGAATTTCGCCCACCCCTCCTGTTTTTCGCCAATATCTCATGAGATTAATGCGAAATTAATTATGGCTACCTGTCAAGAATTGAATTGGACATCTCATCGTGCAAGCAATAAGAAAATCGGTTCACAACTGTTCTAGTAATAGCGGTGTAAAGTGAACATCCTGTCGCCGCAGCGACGCGGCGACTCGGCAGCCGGCGCCGACCGCTACGCGCCGCCTGAATTGTAGACTGTGCCGGGACGGAACGGAACGGTTCCGTCTTTACATCGCGCTCCCTACCGCTGATTGCGTTCGATTCCCGTCAAATTTTGTGAGAAGACTAAGAAATGTACAGGCAATCTTATGGTGAAAGAATTTTGAAAATCTGTTGGTAAACAATTGAAATATGAACGTGTAAACACAAAATTGTGATTGCTGCGTTTCCCGCATCGGCCGAGCCCGCCTCAGCCGGCGACATGTTACTCAAGTAGCAGGCCTCTAACTGCCATATTTATTATTGGATTAACTAGAAATTCCCCATACATACTAAAAAATGTATGTTCTTTCGTACAGTGAAGATCAAAAGACGTGAAGATATCGTTGCGTGATAATGTTTTCGTTGAATTTACTTCATGATGCATTTCCACACGGCTCAAAATTCACCGCAAAATACCGTTTGCCTGAGACACTTTTACCATGGAACGTGAATGCTTGACTACGATGACTATGCATTTCCATTCTCGCAGAGTTTGGGATATCACTAATCAGCAATCATTCATTTCAGAAAGTGTACACAAGCAAGCATGTCTTGACTCTGTCTTTCAAGGTCACGCGCGGTTGCGTGATGTTGATGCATGAAAACGGCGTTTGCCGCGAAAGTTATGAATGGCCCACTCCAATTTTTTCACAGATGGTTAGGAACATTGTGACGGACATAATATGTAAAAATTACCCAAATCGAAGGTAACGTGTTTTTTTGCTATTTAAATTTTTCTGTTTTAATTCAAGGTCAAATGCATTTCAAGGTCACTTCAATTTAATTTTATAATTAAAAATCAAAGCCTTATCAATTGCCTATAAGACTCTGTTAATATCATTTTGATACCAGAAAAGGCACCAGAGTTATAGCCATTTAAAAAAATGATGTGTGACATTTTTCGCTATATTCGATGACCTATATCTCAGCGATACGTTATCAAATTTCGAAAATATTATACGTAACTCAGTTTTGAACCATGCCCAGTCTGCCTACAAATTTTCAGAAAAATCGAAGGGTATGACGGATTTCGGTGTTTGATTTGACGTGGAATGCCCCAACTACATACATATACAGGTATGGTAAGTTTCTAGCTTGGTTTATAGCGGCATACTTTTGATACTGTACTCACAATACGCAATATTGGTCGAGTTACGGCAGCGTTTTTAACAGTTGTAGCGACGTCTGATATCACCTACGATTACCTACTAGTTACTACTAGGTACTCGGAGTTCCAAGACGGTGTCCGTGGTTAGTGGTCATACGCTGTACGCAGCTGTGTCCCCGTGCCGGCCGGTCAGCTCTAGTTCGGCAGGGCCAAACCGATACACAGCACATAGTTATGCTCCTCTATCGTGGTCAGCATAAGCGAGGCGTATTATGGATAGTGGATAGCTTTATGTGTAGGTTTACAGGTAGCTGTATAGATCATTGGGTCGTCATTCCAGGTTCGTCGGGTCTGAATGACATTGGATACGTTCAATCATCGTATTTTGACAACTAACCATGTTGCTAAGTTAGCCGTTAGGTACGCTGCTACTGATGCTCATCGATATTTGGCTCTGCGATGATATATGCAAAGAGCGGCTGCGTGTGCAGCTGAAAGGTTTTTGCGTTCCATAGAGACACACATCGGATGATCGGTAAGAATACGGATCAGTCTGTGAGCCGTCCAGTGTGGACCGACCGTTCAGTACGGTAACGGATCGGTGAGGTGACGCGCCGAATGCTGGCGGCTCGGTGTGCTGACTGACGTATGTGTCCGCTCCCGCTGTCCCCCAGCTGCGGATCGCGCGCGCCGCCTCCGTGGAGCAGCCGTCCGGCGGCGCCGGCACCGCGTACAGATGGAGGAGGGCGCGCCCGCCGACCGGCGCGCTGCGACCCACCACGCCGGGCTGGTGCCGCCGCTCCTGGCCCACCGTGCCGCACGAGGCAAACAGGTCAGTCCATGGTCACACAGCCAACAGGCTAACAGGTCAGTCCACGGCCTCACAACAGGTCAGTCCACGGCCTCACAGCCAAAAGATCAGTCCACGGCCTCACAGTCCACAGCCCAACAAGTCAATCCATGGCCTCACAGCCCACAGTTCAACAGGTCAGTCCACGGCCCCACAGCCCACAGTCCAACAGGTCAGTCCGCCGTCCGACCGCCAACAGGTCAGCCCGTCATTCCACGACCTCACATCCCACAGTCCAACAGGTCAGTCCAAGGCCCCACAGCCCACAGGCCAAAAGGTCAGTCCAAGGCCCTACAGCCAACAGGTCAGCCCGTTGCCCGCCGACCAGCAGGTCAGCGTAACAGGTTGTTCCAACAGACTTCTAGACTGGCCCATTATAATGGGTCAGTCCAACAGCTCAGTCGGCTGCTCCGCCGGCTCCAGGTCAGTCCGCTGTTGGACTGACCTCAATTGGACTGAAATCGAGCTGCTGTTAGAGTGTGTTTCGTATCCC